ATTTTCGTTTCTCATGCCCTTACACCTCCCCCTAAAATGGAAAAGCCGAATGCACCATCCGCACCCTCAATAATATGGCTCGTACCCTCCTTATCCACGTCTCACTACCCCTCACCTTGTGGCCGCATGCCCTTAAATTGGCCACCTACTTACACAACATCCTACCCTCTCAAACTATACAATACCGCTCTCCCACACTTCTCCTATACCATAAAATACCCACATATACTCACCTTCGTGTCTTTGGATGCTTATGCTTTCCTCATACACCCCCCACTACCCACAAACTTCAACCCCGGTCCACCCCTTGTGTATTTTTAGGGTATCCCGACAATCACAAAGGTTACATTTGCATGACATTAACCTCTCCCAAAATCATAATTTCACGACACGTCACCTTTAATGAGGCCGTATTTCCATTTCGCACTCGTCACAAAAATCCTAATTTGGTGGCACCTACATATGACCTTATCCACCCTCTTTTACGTATGCCCCTGGATACCTCTGCATGGCCCATGCATACGCCCAATTCCCCCCAAACCAACCCCCACATGCAGCCTTCTTTGATCAATGCTCAAACCCCATCCGACACCTGTCAACCTCTTTCACAAACAGACCTCTCTCCCTTTTCCTCCACTCACACCCCCAGTCAACCCCACATTCCCATGCGGTCAACCTCATCCACCAGTCAACACACCCCTGACCACTCACCTACACCCTCCATTAACACCGAGCAGTTACCCACTTCCCCGCATCCACCCGATTCCCCCTTCGTTCCCAACCACACTGCCCCAGCTCCTCACCCCATGGTTACCCGAGCCAAATCTGGCATCTTCAAACCCAAACAGATCCTCAACCTCTCGGCCAACCTCACCCCTTCTCCCATACCCAAAAGTCCCATCACTGCCCTCCGTGACCCGTGTTGGAAAGCCGCCATGGATGACGAGTTTAGTGCGCTTATTAAAAATAGGACGTGGGAGTTGGTTCCCCGGCCGCCCGATACTAACATTATTCGTTGTATGTGGTTGTTTAAGAATAAATACAGGTCCGATGGCTCTCTTGAACGTCACAAAGCAAGGTTAGTGGTGAATGGCAACTCTCAACAAATAGGGGTGGATTGTGATGAGACTTTTAGCCCGGTTGTTAAACCGGCCACTATCCGCACCGTCCTAAGCATTGCACTCTCTCATTCTTGGCCTCTCCATCAATTAGACGTCAAGAATGCTTTCCTTCACGGACAACTTGAGGAAACCGTCTTCATGCACCAACCGCCCGGCTACCGTGACTCTTCCCGCCCACAACATGTTTTTCGGCTGCTCAAATCCCTTTACGGACTATAGCAAGCCCCCCGGGATTGGTACCAAAGGTTCACCACATATGTAGCTACCCTCGGCTTCGTCCATAGCAAGTGTGATCATTCTTTGTTCATCCTCCGACATAAACACGACACCGCTTTTCTCTTGCTATACGTTGACGACATCATCCTCACGACCTCCTTCGACACCCTCCGGCGCACCATTCTGGCCCACCTCCACCGAGAGTTCTCCATGACTGACCTTTGGGCCCCTCTCCTTCTTCCTAGGCATTTCGGTAACCACACTGCACAGCGGGCTTTTCTTATCCCAAAATAAGTACGCCCAGGAGATCATTAGTCGTGCGGGTATGGATAAATGCAACTCCAATGCTACCCCAGTCGATTCCAGTGCTAAACTCAGTGCCACAGCGGGTCCCCCAGTACCTGACCCGTCTCTTTACCGTAGTCTTGCCGGCGCACTACAATACCTCACCTTTACCCGACCCGATATCTCCTATGTTGTCCAACAAATTTTTCTCTTCATGCATGATCCACGGGAGGCTCACCTTCATGCACTTAAACGGATTATTCGGTACGTTCGTGGCACACCTCACTTCGGTATACACCTTCATCGTTCACCGGCCCACTCTCTTACTGCATACACTGACGCCGATTGGGGTGGCTGCCCTGACACTCGATGGTCCACGTCTAGCTATTGCGTCTTCTTGGGAGACAATATTCTATCTTGGTCCTCCAAGCGCCAAACCACCATATCCCGCTCTAGTGCCGAGGCCGAATACCGTGGCGTCGCCAACGTGGTCGCCGAAACTTGCTGGCTTCGCAATCTCCTCCTGGAACTTCATTGCCCTCCCTCGAAAGCCTCTATTATATACTGTGATAACATAAGTGCCATATACATCGCCGGCAACCCCGTTCAACATCAACGGACCAAGCACATTGAAATTGATATTCATTTTGTTCGGGAAAAGGTTGCCCGCGGAGAGGTCCGAATACTTCATGTTCCCACACGGTACCAATTCGCGGACATCTTCACCAAGGGACTTCCGCGCCTTTTGTTTGAAGAATTCTGAACCAGTCTCACCGTTCGACCACTTCACGATGGGACTGCGGGGGCGAATTAGCCAAACGGCATTTCAGCCGTTACACTCTAGCCGATTCTTACCATATTTCTTGTATATTGTATTTGGTTCAATTAATGGCTAGATTCATTTAGGTAATTATGGATAGTATATTCTTTGCATTATGTTAGCCTTTTTCCATGCATCTCCAGCCGTTTAGTTTAGGAGAATACTCCATGTATTTATAGTAGATTATTTCTCAATGAAAGCAAGGATTTCACATTCCAATTGTTATTAGGGACGAAGGGAGTATAATTTATAGAATATGATAATATAAAATAAAGAAAATAAAAAGAAACTAGAAATACTAAAATTGAAAAATAGAAAATTTAGGTTTTTAGGATTAAGATAGCATAAAAAAGAAATAAAATTTTAAACATTTTTTAATTTTTGAAAACAGAATATGTAAATTTGAATTGAAGGGAAATAATACAAAATCATAAATTGGTAACACAAATCGGAAAAACAAATTGGAAATAAGGAAAAAATAAAACTTTAGTGAAAATAAATAGAAAAATGACTGATTTCTTTTATTTAACTTCGGTACATTTTGACTAATAAAAAAGTACTTAATTGTTTATATGAAAAATATTTAGTTTGAAAATTTTTAAAAAGTATTTTTATTTCATCCAAAATTTGACAATTCATAGTTGGGATTAATAAAAAAAGATCAACTATAGTTGAGATTATTTAAAGCTTACACATAGTTCACATTTAAAAATGACCTGTTATTCAACCGATTAGGGACTGTTTTTAGAAAATAGTCCCTATAGTTGGAATCACTCATGAATAATTGATAGTTGAGATTATTAACAGCGGATCAGCAATAGCTGAGATTATTATTTTCAATTTTTCCATTCCAACCGAGTACTTCTAAATTAATGTAATACGGAGCATCACTACTATGAATTCTAAAGTAACATAAATTCTAGAGTCAATTATCAAAATAGGACTAAAAGTCATTCACTTTTCACAAACAGGACCAAAAAATAAACTATGTTTGCATAGGACTAATTATGTGTACCTTGGACAATTATACCCTTATAGCTATTAAAATGTTTTAATTCCTAATAAAATAATAAAAAATAATAAAATTCGTAAAAAATACTAAAAAATTAAGAAAAACATTTCGATATTAAAATTTTAATTAATTTTTTTTTCAAAAAATTAAAAAAATTAAAAAAAATTAAAAAAAAATTAAAAAAAAATAAAAACTCAAAAAAAAAATCGCCGCCGCCTCTGCCGCCTCAGCACCACCACCTCCAGTCACCAGGGGAAAAAATGCCAAGTTCATTACGAATGCCATATTTATGGCAGAAAAAATGAAAATGTTGGCATTCGAAAAGAGAAATATGCCACTTTTTTGGCATTTTCTGAAACAAATGGTATTTTTCTGGGAAAATGACATTTTTTCATCGCCCGGAGGTGGTGGTGCTGGGAGGTAGTACAGGCGGTGGGAAAGGCATCCATATTTTTTTAAATTTTTTTTACGGAGTTTTACTATTTTTTATTAATTTTTTTAAAAATAAAATTATTTATAAAAAAAGTTTTTGAATATTTTATTTTATAAAAATTTTATAATTTTTTTAGAGTTTTTTACAAGAATATTACTAAAATAAAACATATTTACATAAATATGACTATTAATTACTACAATGTGGTGTTGTGGTAACTTAAGATCAAAATTTGAACATGAATTACTATGATTTCATTACTACTCTAGTCATTAGTCATATTTTTGTAAATCATCTTTATCTTGGTCATATTTATGTAATTATTTAAATTTTTTAATTATATTTCTACGAATTTTTGAATTTTTTTCGAATTTATTATGAATTAAACATTTAATTATGGCTTTTGACTATTTTTAATTCATATTTAATGGAAGGGTAAGAATGGAATGCAAAAATAGGTATGTTTCCAATAGGACTCATATGGTCCTATTTTAGAATAAAAACATAATAAGTCCTATTTTAGGTTTTTGTCATAGTTTTAGTCCTATTTGAACTAATTTCTATAAATTCTTCTGTGAATTGTGATGATATACGGGAGAGGTTTTAGGTATATTTTCAAGTGTAATTGGGATGGATCAGAATAGCTGCGGTAATAAAGCAATCTAATATGAATGTGTTCTAATTTTTAGCAATATTAATTTAGGAAGGAGCAGTGTACGACGTCTTTTTGGAGTAATCTAAAATATTTTATATGATGGAGGTGCTTGATTTAGCAATATTTTTTTGGTCCATAAATATATCTTTGAAATGTATTATTTATAAATTATATTAAAAATATATTTTATTAACAAAATAAATAAAAAATTATATAAAAAATAGTTAAAATGGTTCTCTACAATAACTTCATTGATGTAGTCAGAAAATTAAAGTAACTTCTCAATTTCTCATACTTTTGTTTTATTTTTTAAACAATTGGGTGCACGAAATCATAAGTAATGTTTGATAACAAGTTGATACATAAAGCTGATAAGTAAAAAAAGCTAAGAAGTTAAAATATTGTGTCACCAAACCAGATCTAAAAAAGTAGAAGTATAATTAAAAAGAATGATATACCTTCTCTCCACTATCATTCCCAATTACCCTTATTTCAAGACCTACATGAGCCGCCTCGGGAGCAAGAGTTATTTCCTCATAATCGATAAATTGTATTGCACCAGGATCATAGCGGAAAAAACCAAAATCGTGAACCTATGAAATTAATATAAAATAACAGGTCATTCGCCTCTATACTATAGTAAGAATTGAAGCATATATATTTATATATGTGCAAGAATATAATCATTTAAATATTCCTTATAAAGCAACTCATGCAATTGAAAACCCTAAGTGCTAAAATAAAAAGTTTAGTCGACAGCCACAATATATTTACGCGACAAACTTAAAACCACACATCCAATGTTCTTAAAGGCAGCGAAAGACATGGTCTAGGCGTGCCTAGACGTGATACGACACAAAAAAACCTCACATAGTAGAAAGAAGTGAAAAAAACGAATTTGGATCCTCTCCAGTGACCGGAGAGTTCCAGTGACTGGATAGTTCCAGTGGGAGAGAGATAGAGAGGAGGGGATTTTAGATGAGGTATGTAGATGAGTAAGATAGAGAAAAAGGTAGAGAGAGATAGGAAGACAAAAAGAAATGGATGAGAAATGGAGAAGAAAAAATGGAGAGGAGCTGCACCCGAAAAAAACGGTCAAACAGAAGAGTTGAGCACCCGGCCAAAGACGTGATTACGTGAAAAGGTGTAAGTTTAGGCGGGCAAGGTGTGAAATACGACAGAAAAACACCCCGCATAGTAGAAGGACGTCGAAAAAGCGATCAACTGAAGAGTTGACCACCAGGGCAAAGACGTGAAAAGGTGTAAGTTTAGGCGCTGCAAGATGTGAAGTACGTGGTATGAAACATTTTATCCCTTTAGGGCAACTAAACTATCGACTAGGTCTGGCGTTCTGGAGATGGAAAATGCTAGCGCGCTACGGCTTACGAAGTTGATCGGGTCAGATAGCCTTTCAGGCAACCAACCGCAAAAAAAATCTGATCAACAACTTGGAGGGATGGCTAAGTGGCTTAAGGCGCATACGTTTTCTTCCTCTTTCGGAAAACTATGATCGTTCAGAGGGCGATCGCGAGGTCACTGAATGAAGTCCTCCGTTTCTTTCGGAGGTGCTGACCCGCAGCGAGGCAGAGTGCTCTCTTTGAAATCTCCGCTTCTAGAATGAAAACTTATTTCGGAAGATAAGAAGTTGCGATTGTGGACAAGAGAAAGGGTGAGGAACGAACAAGAAGCGGAGGAAAATGAGGCCTAGGAGAGGCCCGGCTCCGGCCAGGCATGGCAAGAAAGGCAACCAGGTTGAGTAGCCGAAGTCGTCGAGTCATGAAGACAACAAAAAGATAGTCAAAACCCACAATATATTTAGAAGCGCGACAATATAATGTGCTTTTAATTTTATAATAAGTTGAACTAGTCAAGACCTTGAGTCCGTATACGGTACATCCGGCTGTACAGTGTGCATCGTACAGTCAGTGGCATTTTTGTAATTTAAGTAAAAATCGCGGCTTCTATTATATGAGCATTAATGTGTTTGTAATGCACATCAAACTTATTAGTTTGAGTATTATGAGTCTTATAATGAGTATCATGATCTCTTTTCATATCTTTTAATTCACTTTCTTTTTTTTTATTTTTCCTTTTACAAAAATTTCTTAAATTATATTTATAATCAACTCCTATGAATTTCAATATCTGAATCTAATGTAATATGGTACTTGTTGGGTTAATGGCCCAACGCGGGCTGGCCCATAAACCCTTAGGCGAACCCTACGAACGTCCCTGGAAGGCCCAATAGAACGGGTTACCCTTCCGCTTATTCTGGCGAGGTTCGTCCCCAAGAGGGCCAAGAAATGGGAAGTACGTATCCTAGCGTGGGCGGACACCTTGGCCCAGGAGCAGCACAAGACACTCGTCTGCAGTACTTTCGACCCAGTAGAAAGCATGAAGCACGCTCGAGGGGACGAACGTCCCCACCCTTGGCGGGAGTACAAGATCCCAGCAGGGAACAAGAGGCAAGCTCATGGGGACGAACGTGCTCACCCCTTGGCGGGAACCCAAGGTCCTAACAGGGAACCAGCTGTAAGCTAATGGAGACGAACGTCCCCCATCCCTTGGCGGGAAGCCAAGATCCTGGCGGGAAACGCATTTAATGTAGAAGATCCTGGCGGGAAGCGCATTTAATGCAGAGATTCGGTGGTTGAGATCCCAACCAGCCACAGCTCGCCACGTCAGTTTATCCAACTACCCATTGGTGGTATAAATAGTAGCATTTATTTCATTGTAAAGGGGGATAACTAAGCACTGTACTCTAATAGTGTAGCATTGTAGCAACTCGTAGCATAGCGAGGGGACGAACGACGTCACGCCTTTGTGTCGAGCTTATCGTATTAAGACTTCTTACTGGGCCTTTCTTGCTTGTTTCTGCATCTACTTCTTTATTTCTTCCATTCGAAACCCTTGAGTCGTGTGTTGGGCCTACGGGTTGATGGAATAAACCTCAACAGTACTTTGGAAATATGCATTGATATGAAAGTTCAAAATGAGTATAACATGAGTACCAATGAGCATACATAATTTACAAAATGAGCATTTATATGAAAATCGTAAACTTTGTAAGTTGAACATCAAGACATGTTCATTGTGCATCAAACTTTCTTTGCTGAGTATTAATTAGAAGCACGCAATTGAGTATCATGATCTCTGTCTCGTGTCTATAATCAACTCTTATGTGAATGTAATGTATTATGATACTTTTGAAATATGTATTGATATGACATTTAAAAATGAGCATAAAACCAACACTAGATGAGCATACGTAACTTATAAAATGAATACGAAAAAATTAAAAAAGCTCATTTGAATTCTCTGATTTGCTCAAATATTCGTATGTGTATACTCATTTCATTTAAGCATTATACTCGTTTGAGTTTAACGCTTTGGTGTTTTGCTTTCAAAAAACTTACTACATAAAAATTTGGTAAATTGGTCGCTTTGATTCCTGTTACAAGGCTTGATAGACGACAACGATGGGGAGTGATTAGTTACTAGAGATGGCTATGAGCCTATGAAGGAGATGAAATTATCAATTTGGGTCGGGTCTTTTGAATCTGGAGGCCAGCGGAAACAAGTTACAAAAGCTCCCAGCGATCTGTCGCCCTTTTTCTACAATTTTTGTTTGTCTTTTCATTCAACGAACCAATCTTCCCATTCATGAGAGTTGGACATGGGACACATTATCAAAAGCTCCAAGATTGATATTTTACGGCAAAAGCTCCAAGCTCCAAATTTTCTATAGCATATCCGCACCATTCGTTTTATATTTACAGATATTTAATATCTTCAAGTTTGATATTAGACGCAATGACGGATTAGCAAAAGCTCCAGCCACTGTGCAAGCAAGGATTTGAATCTGGTTTGAAGTAATCAAGGAGGAGAGGTAATATATATAACTAGACATCAACTTGGAGTTAATTACAAAAATATCCAACTCTACCAAGCACATGGTGCAGCGGTTGAATGGTATAATCACCCAATTAAGACCTTAGAGTATCTTTTGACTATCTTTAGTCAAAACCTAAACTTATACTCCGTACTACGTGAAGGAGCCTAAGAAAATATAAATAAAGAAAAAGTTTATCCAAATAAAGAAAATATAAATAAAGAAACTGTTTAATTAAATATAAATAAAGAAAAAGAAGTCTAGGGAAAATAAAGGAGATGGTGCTATTAGATGTGAAGGTACGTTGAATATGAGTACATTACTGCGAAGTTTGGCATTAATATGCTTTAAAACATGACATTTTTTTCAAACTTGACAGATTACTCCTATTCAGGGAATAAAAAACATGATACTCCTATTTTGGAATATCAAAATGTTTTTGCTCCTATTTAGAACAATTTCTAATAAAAATACCGTATCACCATTTTTTGTAATAGTGGAGGTAGCGATTGAAAAAGTACTAAATCTAGCATAAAATTTCTTCGAAGGTATGTACTCTCTCCGTTTCACACCCAAATTAAATTCTAGTTTCATATTTTGACAAAAAACGTGTGATTCATCATATTTGGTTTGCTTTAAAGAATTCTCAACCATATAATATAATTCTCACTTTCTTAAATCACGTGCAAAACCTATATATTTGACGGAGGGATGAGTAAATACAAATTCGTGTTGATACAAATAAAATTTATCTAAAATATAATTAAACAAATCTAATGTGTTCCTCGATCATATAAGAGCAAAACGTATGTGAGTAATATTACTTTCAAATTTTGATCCTCGCGGTGAGGCCATCTCAACGTGTCAAAGAAGTCTTAACAGCTTGTATACCAAACAGAGCTAAATCAAACAGTCAGCTTTTTACCAAACATGCACTGCCTTTTCTTTTTAAGATTTTTTCAGTCATTAAAAGCTAACAGTTACTAAAAGCTCATAAAAGTATCTTTTCAGCTAGTTGTGCCAAACATACCCTATATGTACCTAGACACCAATTCAAGCAGCTCATTATAAGTGTATGAGGTGGAAATTAAAGGACTTACGGGGTCTCTATATATTGGATAGATAGGAATTTGTTCATTGTCCACAAACGTAGCTTCAGCCACCACAGGTCCTACATTAGATATAGGAAAAAAAAACTGATCAAAATAGGAGGAGTGAACACTAACCAAGTTCAAAAATAGGAAAAAGAACCACATGATCGAGTGAGGGACGAAACAAGAATGTAGTATGACTGGTGTCAATGTACGTAATATTAAAAGTGCAAACAATGTGAAATCAAAATTAAGAGTACATATTGTATTTCTCCCCTGGCCTACTATTGTCATGTTTAGATAATGATCCAGTGTGTTTGAGTAATAGCGGCTTATTGGAGAATCATAATATTATTAATTATTGTTCCTATCACTATGTACATTCGGTAGCTAGTTTGTTATTATACATTATCATCTCCACAATTATAGCTAGTCATGATTATTCTATTAGCTGTCACAGTTAGCCTTTACGTGTATATAAACAACAATGTATTTGATGATCAATACAATACATTCATACTTTACATGGTATCTAGAGCCAGCCTCAAACGAGCATAAATTTTTTCCCGATGACTATCACCGCCGCCACCCCAGTGATTCAGCTCACTGCAACCAGGCCACCAACTTCCCAATCAAATTCACATCTTCCAACTACCCGGTTTGGAAATGCCAAGTTCATGTTGCTCTTGTCGGCCTCGGACTTGAAGGACATGTTGATGGCACTATCACTACTCCAGATCAACTTCTGGATGCTGCAAAATCCCAGACCAATCCTTGTTATACCATTTGGTATCGACAAAATAAAGTTATTTTGAGTGCCCTTCTAGGCACTTGCTCCGACACCATTCAACATGTCCTATCATCCGCACTCACCGCTCATGGTGCATGGGATACACTAGCGCTCACTTATGCTAGTGCATCCCATGGTCATATTATTTCCCTTAAAAATACACTGGCCAAGACTACCAAAGGAAACAGATCGATTTTTGATTATTTGGCAGAGATGACGGCAATCTCCGATGCACTTGCCCTTGCTCAAAATCCCATATCTGAGGAGGACTTGGTTATTCATATCCTCAGAGGTCTTGGGCCGGATTGTGGAGATATTAAATCTGCTATTCGGATACGTGAAAAGGCACTACCTCTGGCAGAACTTCGTCCCATATTATTGGAACATGAGCAACAAATTAATGAAGCAGCACCAACTGATTCCCTTCTGCTTACTGCAAATGCTACACATGTTCATGAACGTGCTCCACGTGGTCCTTATCCCACTGACAGGCACCGTGATGGTTCAGGCCGTGGCAGAGGTAATTCATTCAAGAGGGGAAGAGGTGGCCCACCTCATCAATCCAACCGGCTAGTACATGCAGGTCAACCTACATGTCGTTTCTGTGACAACATAGGTCACACAGTCCAACAGTGCAGAAAATTGCAAAGGTTTCTTCATGATAATCATATTCCCCATCCCACCTCGTCCAACAATCTGATGGTCAATTATGTTGTTGCTCCGTCCGTTCCACAAAATCAGTCTTGGATGCTTGACAGCGGAGCCTCTCATCATGTGGTTAATGATGCAACTCGTCTACCTACATATGCTGAATATGGTGGTCCGGATGAAGTCCACTTAGGTGATGGTAAGGCCCTTAAAATCACTCATATCGGTTCTTCCACCCTACCCACACCCACCCGTCCCCTCACCCTCTCTCATATATTATGTGTTCCTCATTTAAACAAAAATCTCATTTCCGTAGCCAAATTATGCAGAACTAATAACGTCTCTGTTGAATTTTTCTATAATTATTTTCTTGTCAAGGATCGGGTCACGGAGGCGCCATTACCTCGCGGGGAGAGCAGTAATGATGTTTACTATGCGTCCATTATTCAACGTCCTCAGCTTAATCATATTCAATGTCTTGCTCCGTCTTAGTGGCATTGATATTCATGTAATTTCCGATTGTAAGTTTGTATTTTTAATTAGTTTTTATTAGTTCTAGTTGAGGACATCATTTAATCTCGTGAAGATGAAAAGAGGAGATGAGCATAGAAGGCCATGAAACTCAAGAAGATATTATTCTTTGAGCTAAACACTCAATGTAAAACCCATATGTTATCCTTGGTGGTCTTTTGCTTTTTCTGGTTGATTGTTGAACTTTTGAGGACTTGGAACTGTTAAACATTTGACTTTACTCGAGGACGAGTAAAGAAGCTAAGTGTGGGGGGGTTGATATTCATGTAATTTCCGATTGTAGGTTTGTATTTTTAACTAGTTTTTATTAGTTCTAGTTGAGGAAATTACACACTTTTGATGTAATACTTTATTTTCATATTTATTTGTAATTTTTTTAGATTAGGACTTTTCTGAGCTAAACAGGTCAAAGATCATCCAAGGGATCAAGATTGGACCTTAAAAGATCAAGGAAAGTGCAAGGAGGCAAGAAAGATTTCGATTTGGAAAAAATACTCATGTACCCGGTCGGGTATTGTCTATACCCGATCGGGTATTTGCTTGATTCGATTGTCCAAATCAAATCCGGGAACAAATGATCGTGGGAGCAAGATTTCGTTAAGATTTGTCACATACCCGATCGGGTATGCCGACATACCCGGTCGGGTATGCCCTGAAAAGTGACTTTCTGGGAAATTTCCTAAGATACCCGGTCGGGTATCCTATATACTCGGTCGGGTATCAGCCCCTGCAGCTCCCAAAAACCTATAAATACACCTCTTTCCTTCACAATAAAAGGACCAATTCACATATACTCTTTAGCTCAGTTTAGTTAAATATTTCTTTAATATTTTTAGCATGTTTAGTCTTCAAATGAGGAGCTAAACTCTTCCATCTTGGTTTTGCTACTTTGAAGCTTAATGATCTTGTAAGTTGTGAGTTATTCTCTTTAATTTTCTTCCTTGAATATTAATTCTTCCTTTAAATACTATTTCTATATCAATGTTGGGGAGTGTTACTAAGATGACAATTAGTTAACATCTTGACATTAGTTATAGTAATAGTTATTTCTTCCTCTATGTTAATATTGGGGAGTGTTACTAAGATGACAATTAGTTAACATCTTGATATTAACTATAGTAGGATTCATACTCTTTAATATTCTTCCTTGAGTATTAATTAATTCCTATTCATATTTCATATTAATATTTTGAGCATTACTTAAAGGATCAACTAGTTTTGTTTCATATATTAATTATTACTAGAATCAATCGGTTAATACGCTTGTTATTAATTCGGTTCCTTCAACGGTAGTAAACTTGGATTATTAATGCATGCGTCTCATGGTTAATAATCTAAGGGGAATTAATTATATTGATTAAACCGATAAACCGCTTGTGTTGAGGTTATCAATCTCAATCGATTTTCATCTCAAGTTTATTGCTACTATCGTGTGAATATATGGCGCGTGTTCTATATTAACTCGGTAGTAAGTTTTATTAATGAACACGTCTCGTTATTAATAACTACCCTCGATGAACTGGATATACTCCTCGATTGAGTATTCGAGAGGAAGATAGTTAAAGATATAACCGGGATCGACGAACATTTCATTAAGTGGATAAAAGCAAAACCAAGTTCTCATCTCTATAAATTAAACTCATATAAGTCGTTCATCTTAGTGTTAATTAAATTAAATCAAATCAAACTTAAAACCCCCCTTGTTACTATTCACATAAAAGAAAAGTATTCCTTTCCGTGTGGTTACGAACCTTACTTCACTATACTACGTATTAGTGTTGTATTGTAATTATTATTTTGAGTGCACTCACGACAAAGTGCACGTCAGGCATCATATCCTGGGTCATCCATCTAGTCGTATTTTTATGTTTTTAATGAATAAAAACAAAAATATTTTCCCATGTAATTCTGCTAGTTCGTTCCATTGTATGTCTTGTTCAGTCAATAAAAGCACCGAATTACCGTTCTTTGTTAATTCTATGAGCGCTCACCGTCCTTTAGAACTTGTTTACACTGATGTCTGGAGTACGTCTACTCCATCTGTTGATGGATGCAAGTATTATGTTATCTTTGTTGATTATTTCACCCGCTACATTTGGTTATATCCACTTAAACAAAAATCTGATGTCACCAATGTGTTTCCAAAATTTCATCGGTTGGTGGAAAAATATTTTAATCATCAAATTACTACACTCTTTTCTCACAATGGGGGTGAATTCATCAAATTACGTGCCTATCTAAACACTCATGTAATTTCACATATGATTACTCCACCTCATACACCTGAACATAATGGACTAGCAGAGCGGAGACACCATCATATTGTTGAAACTGGACAATCTTTGCTTCACTATTCTGGTCTTCCAATAAAATATTGGACGTTTGCATTTCAAACTGGTGTTTATTTAATCAATCGTCTCCCTACCCCGGTCCTTGACAATGATACCCCATAACAACTCCACCCAAAATTCAAACTTATCATCATCTGCCGAACTCCTCAACACTCCCCCACCAATATTGACTCATCACACCAATTGGGTCCACTAGCAATAACATCTCCTCATAATAATAATAATATCACTCCTCCTATCTTGGAACATAACTCCACGTATCAAACCACTACTCCAACTTCTTCCATGCATAATATATCCAACGGACAATCCACATCCTCACCACCCTCACCTACGCATCCTCCCCATTCTCGTCCTAGCCGTCACCGTATTCCTAACCCCAAATATTTTGGGAGTCAATTTGTCAACTACACCACCACTCATCCCATACAACCTGTCATGGAACCACTGAGTGTGAAAGAAGCCTTAGCAGACCCTAAGTGGCGTCTGGCCATGCAAGAAGAAATGGAGGCTCTTAACCGTAACCATACTTGGACTCTCGTCCCCCGTGACAATCATACACCGATATCATGCAAAAGGCTTTTTTGTATCAAAAGGAATACTGACGGCAGTATTGCACGGTACAAGGCACGACTTGTTGCGCGTGGGTTCCTGCAACAGGCTGGCTGTGACTATGCCGAAACTTTCAGTTCGGTCACTAAACCGGCTACTATACGCATTGTCCTTGCCATAGCTCTCTCTCGCCACTGGCCCTTACGTCAATTGGACGTAAATAATGCATTCCTTTATGGCTCGTTGACGGAAGAAGTTTACATGTTGCAACCACCGAGATTCAAAGACTCATCACATCCCACGCATGTGTGTCGACTTCAAAAGGCACTCTATGGCCTTAAGCAAGCACCACGTGCGTGGTATCTTGAGCTATCTCGTTTCCTTATTTCTGCAGGTTTCCGGAGATCCAAGGCAGATGCATCCTTATTTATATTTTCTCTCAATAATATTTTGTTGTACTTTCTTGTTTATGTTGATGATATAGTGATCACTGGGAATCATGCTACTGCTCTGGAACAATTTATTACACAACTCACAACCCGGTTTTCTGTTAAAGATCTTGGCATCTTGCATCATTTTCTTGGGGTTGAAACCATCCCACATCCTGAGGGGATTTTTCTGTCACAACGGCAATACATTTTGCATATTCTTGAGGAGTGTCCTATGGAAGGGGCTAAGGAGTCTGCCACCCCTATGAGTTCTTGCTCTTCACCCCATCTTACGGATGGCACGCATCCCACTGATCCCATATAGTACAGGCGGGCCCTTGGCTTATTACAATACTTGGCATTCACAAGACCTGACATTTCGTTTGGTGTCAACAAGTTATCTCAATACATGCATGCCCCCACGGATGTTCATTGGCAAGGAGTTAAACGTATTCTACGGTATCTCAAAGGCACTTTGAACTATGGTCTTTTCTTGAAACGATCCTCCCCCTCACACAAACTGCTTTCTCGGATTCGGATTGGGGGGGAATTCATGACGGGGGGAAATCCACCACTGCATATGTATTATATCTTGGATCAAATATTATTTAATGGAAATCAGCAAAGCAAAAATCTTTATCGCGGTCTTCTACGGAAGCTGAATATAGGGTTGTGGCACATGCTAGTGCTGAGATTTTATGGGTTCAAAATCTCCTTCATGAATTAGGAGTAAAATTATCTCACTCCCCTCAGTTCTTATGTGATAATCAAGGAGCCACGTACGTGTGTGTAAATCCAGTTTTTTACTCTCGTATGAAACACGTAGCACTTGACTTCTTTTTTGTTCGGGATTTGGTTGAAATTGGGCAACTCTCAGTTCGTCACATTTCCAACAAGTTTCAAATTGCCAACATACTCACAAAGCCTCTTGGAAAAGTTCCATTTGAGCGGTTTCGGTCCAAGCTTGGAGTTTCCAACGGAACCTCCATCTTGCGGGGGCGTATTGGAGCATCATAATATTATTAATTATTGTTCCTATCACTATGTACATTCGGTAGCTAGTTTGTTATTATACATTATTATCTCCATAATTATAGCTAGTCATGATTATCCTATTAACTCTCACAGTTAGCCTCTACGTGTATATAAACAGACTTGTACAATGTATTTGATGATCAATACAATACATTCATACTTTACACAGCTTAGCTCCAATCCGCCATTTTTTCTCAAAAGAAATCGTTGCATTTTGCAACGGTTAGGTCTGGATTTGCCAAAAAACAAATAGGGCCGCTATATATATATATTATCAAATATGTCATCAATACTACCTTGTTAAGTCTGGTAATGCCGCGCCAAAATCTAACAATATGATTTCAATATTGAAATAATTTGCACATGTTTTGGGAAAAATAAAGTACCTCACAATTTAGAATATTCAATGTTTTTACTGTCAGTACGTTCGTAAAATTTCTCAATACTACAAATGAGTGTGTGTGTAATGTTTTTATTTGTATACGCATGATTATGTGGATGTTGTCACTTAATTTTTACTCCATTATAAGCTCTATTTTCCAAATATTTTAGGAAAAGCCCTGTCTAGAACACTATATAGTAAATATATATTAAATTTGTTAATTAACATATGTAACCCTTTCATATCTTCTTGTGAAACACTTTAAAAAATCTTTTTAAAGTTTTTATGTTCAACTTTATTTTGTTTGTAGCATTCATTTGTTCACTAAACAAATATAGATATTCACAACTTATGAAATGCATATATACTAACTAACAATAAAACCATAGTTACTCATCAATCCAAAATACATCAAAACAAACTTCTATTTTTCTTGTAAGAAGAAAGTTTCAATTATACTGTTTCAGTTTGTAATTAAATAAAAATCAACATTGTTTTTGTGTTTCAAATTTTCAGTCACACACTCACACATGGAAGAATTTGTAAGATAGAGGAAATGTGCTTTATATAGTGATCTAGGGCCGGTTCTGGGGGCAAGACCTAAGAGGGGCGACCACCCTATGCCCGAAAAAAACAGAAGGAAAAATAGACCCAAATTTTCTTCTTTATATATAGTGTGGGTAGGTTTCTTTTTTTATTCTTAAGTTCAATTAATTTGGCCTAATTTTTAATTATGTTGAGTTGTTGACAATTTGAAAATTTAAAATGTAAATAAAAAGTCTTAAACAGAGCCAAGTTTATAAAAGAAAATATACATTAATTTTAACTAGGATCGGTTGTAGTTTTTAAAATCAATAAAATTGTTGCTGCATCAATAAAAGACATGCCCCTTCAGTCTTCACATCTATTTAGCCTTTAAGAATTTTTATTCATTTTAATTATAACATAACAAATTTATATAATTATTTTAGAGCCTATCTCTCTCAAATCTCATCCCAATTATTTATTTGTTTCCAAATTTCAATAAACTATATCTGAGTTCCTAATAGTAGTTTTAGAGGACGTCTATTTGGCAGACTTCTTGCACGAGTCTTTTTGGCGGCCAAACATTTTGTCTCTTTGAAAACTTTCATTCTTTCGATACTTCAAACTTTAAACTTACATCAGCGATCAATAAATCATTCTCAACTTATGTATTCAATATGTAGTAATATTTTTTTCCCATTATCCTTTCAAAAGAAAATTTAGTGTTGTTACATGTGACAATTTTATTGTTTGTCATATTTATTATTGGAAAGAAAGTTGCCTATGAAGCGATTATTGATGATTTGCTTCACATTGTTCTACGATAAATAATTTTTAGTAATATTTTTTTTTCTTTTTATCTGATACTCGTGATGTTACTTTTGCCCAAATATGTAAATTAAATAATACTATCGTAATAAAGTGATTATCGTCTTTATTTTATGAACTTCATTGGATATTTTTATTATATGTCTTGGGTATAAGTCCATAATAGAGTCCCGCCCATTGACCCAGAAGTTGGCAGGACCGGCGCTGTAGTGATCACTGAGTTATTTAAAAAAGTATTTTTAACATTTTCAAAAATGAATGTTACAAACGACATTCGATCAAGCTAAGGGATAATAAAATTAAAGGTGGCTATTTACATGCAACACTTAGCTTATTTTCATGCTGCATGCATGAACAATGACATATAGGTACGTACGTACCAGCACCAACAACATGTCTGTTAGTAAGAATGATTCCCCGGCGCTTATCGACAACAAAGCCCGTTGCGACTGCAGAACTGACGGACTCGGTGTCGAAACACCGGCAAGCGGTGACGTTGATGGCGACCACCGCCTGAACCACCTTGTTGACCGCCCTTTGCCAGTCCTCGGCCGTAGCAACATTCTCCGTAGACGACGATGATCCAAACTTCGCCGACATATTCCCCATCCCGGACTTGCTAGCTTAAGTATTGCACGTTAATCGTGCGTGCTTGCTAGTTCAACTTCTTGACTACTGTATTATATATAAGTTCGCAAATTTATCTGGACGTTGGTTTAGGTTGCTTAATGCTTAGGTAAAGCTTTTCACAAATTATACTCCAATTTTGTACAAGCTACAGGCACTACATTCAATTCTTTTAATAAAGTGCTACTTCACAAGGGTTAGGTCCCGGGTTCAAATCCCAGCAACTGTGATGAGGGGTTACTATGCTAAAAATGCATAGGGTCTCTGCAAGTACCGGGGACAGAGTCTCACTCTCTATCTGTCAGATTAGGATTATAGTCCAATTTACATCCTTCCAACATACCGTCGGATCGGAGTTGGGGGCCCTTAGGGATGGGGTGTCATCCTTTATAAAGTGCTACTTCCATAAGCTAATTAAACACTCAACGTCTATTAAAGATTCTCATGTACAGTACGGCGTATCTATTAAGCCATGTATACATGGCGGGTTGCGTGCATTGGAGAAAAGTCAAAAACATAATTATTCTAGCTTAATTCCTTTTCGGAGTTACATACGGAGTATAAAAATGGCGGTCAACGTAACTGGTTTACAATTTCAGTTCAATTTTGCTACAGGTATCCCAACTTTACCCCATTCCCTACCCCATATAAATACACCACTACAAAAAATAGAGAGAATAGCGACGGAGATAGCCACGGTATAAGTTCAAATAACCGTCGGTACAAAATTCACCGACGACTTTCCAACGGATACTTTCCGCCGAAATAGCGTGGTTGGTAAACCCAACGACGGATCTAAGCGACGGATTACAAAAAGTACCTACGGATTAGGGACGGAAATATCCGTCGGTGATAGCGACGGAAAATACGGTCGCAAATTGGTATGCGTGGGTTTTTGAATGTGTACACGTGCCTCTCAATTACCAACGGTTATTTCCGTCGGTGATTTAAAAAAAAAAATTATTAAATTACCGACGGATAGTTCCGTCAGAAAAAGTCCGGCCATATTAAAATTGTTTCATTGTTGCCGACGGCTTATTCTGTCGCTACTTTTGAATTTGCAACAACAACACTATACTTCTATACTTCTGATCCTCATACTGTTTTCAAATCAGACTCATTTACAAACAACACCCTTTCCAGAATACCATTCACAAACAAGTTTTGCATAATACCATTCACAACATCATTCAAAGTCATACTGTGAACTTCCATTTCACAAAAGTATTCATTCCAAAAACCTCATAATGGTATGCATTAGAGCTTAACAAAAACAAGTAATTTAAAAGTGCAACATCCTACATAAATATTCCAAAACAAACAAAATGTCAAGGACATTAAAAGAAATTGCACATAGTGAACAATTACTACAAGTCTTCATTGTTGTCCTTCACCCTCGTTATTAAACCCTCCGCTACCAAGTAAATTATCGATAAAAGTGTTATTGTCTTCTTGGGAGAGAGTATTATTTGTGTTGTGAAGAGGGACAAATGGGACAGCTGCAGGTTGCATTGATGGTTGACCCTCCATGAAATAATTTGGAAACATTGGAGGCGTAGGAAAGACAGATTGGCTTTGTTGAGGAAAAGTAGCTTGTGGTTGTTGGACAAACATGTAAGGCATCTGTTGTCCATTCCCAGGAGAAGGATGACCATATGCAAACATTGGGAATGAGTTCATAGATGAAGTCCCTGTATTACTCCCTTGCATTTTTATTTGTTCCCGCAATAGCTTCATTTCTGCTTGACAACTCTCCACCTGCTCCGTGAGTTTATCAATGCGGTCTTGCTCAGAAGAGCGAAAATATGTCGGGTTCAAAGACCTAGTGCTCAACAAATGTGGGGCAAGAGAGCCCACTCCCATGAGCCTTCCCCGGTTCGGTTGCACAACTTTCAAAAACAATGCATTCTTATCAACTATTGTGTCTGGCCCTTGTGTCTGTGTGATTTCTGCTGCCCCAGCCTTAAGTTTTTCCTAATTATAATGTATAGAATAACTTAATTAATAAGTACACAATCAAGTATAACCTACCATATATGTTAGCAATCTATATATATAACAATGGAATCGTGTGGCAATAATAACTGTTCCCGCCTTGGATTACGCTTGCAGCACATATGATCTAAATTGTAATTATCATGCAAATGCTGGAAATATAAAAAAAAACTGCAGAATCCATAACCGTAACATCAATCCCAAAATTCAAGCATAATGTTCTGAATACTTCTAGCGATGTGTTCTACTAATGTGGCATACTTTTGTAAATTAATATATTTAATAAATCAGCCAAGTAGAGAAAAAAAAATAAACACCAACGATATTGTGGCAGTTTACTCTCCAATTGCTGCCACGATCCGGTCTACCTCCATTGCCTGTGAGAAGTAACGTGACGCTTCAGACTCTGGTTGAGATTGAAAGTCCTCGGGTGTTTGAGAGGGTGTGTCGTTATTCTCCTCTGTGTCACCCTCTTCGCTTGAGGTGTCCTCAACAGTAGGCTCATCTCTACGGAATTGAGTAAAGTTCCCTAATTCCTTGTCTCTTGGCATATTAGTTGACCGCTTTGCCGACATTATATTGAACTAAATAAAATTAACCTCAACATATTCAATCTCATGTATGCTGGCGTATTCATTAAAATGAATATACAGAAATATACATAGATATATAATTCAATATTGAGAAGCAGATAGTTCACAACCATATATACTGGAAAACAAAATATATTGGACTCAATTTCATTCACAGTATCAAAATCCATAGCATAGAACAAAATAAAAAAGTATACCAACTGGCTTTCATAAATATCTGCGGGTTAAATAAATGCATAGTGATAGCAATGTTGATGATATCCTCTGTATAATGAACGTTCGAACTACATATATAAGATTTTACCAGAATTAGTTGAAGCAACTGGCGGAAACCTTGAACCCTAGAGCAAAATCGAATAAACCAGATGGGGGAAGATGGGGTGAGGAAGATAGGGGATGAGGAAGATGGGGGATGAAATCGCAGGATGAAATCAAATATATGGAAAAAGATTAATTACTTACTTACCTGGAAACGAGATGAAATCGCAGAGTGAAAGTATGGAGCGAGGAAGATGGGGGATGAGGCAAAGTCGTATAATGAGGAAGAACGAATGTGTGGGGGTTAGGTTTTGGGTCGCGATAATTAGCGATGGAAAAATCCGTCGGTAGTCCGTCGGTAATCCGTCGGTTATCCGCTGCTAAATCACAGTCCGTCAGTAATCCGTCGGTAATCCGTCGGTAATCCGTCGGTAATCCGTCGGTTACCAATTAATACTAAAGTTTAATATTAAGGTTTAATCATCCAAATTAATTCAATTTTAAATATTTAAAATTAACATATTAAGAAAGGACATTAAAATCTCTGTACAATATCAATTCTTAATTAAAATTTAATTAATAATTGATATTCTAATTAAGTGATTAAAATGACTCAATTTTACTCAACAAGTCAAAATTTGCAATTCAATTTGGGACGGATGGAGTATTACCGGGGTTTTTAGAATCAATTTGGTAACGGAGAGATAAGTGCCCGTTTGGTGACTCTGCTTTTAACTATTTTATATGACAATTTAGCAAACTTATTAAAGTACAAATATAAGCATATTCTAGATGGTTTAATTGAAATATCGAATAATCCAAATAAAATACGTTCATCGTCATAAATTTATTTAGCAAACTTATTAAAGTGCATTTATAAGCTTAAAACAATATCTTGTCATTGCAAAATATTGTACGTTACTCATCAATAGTGTCTTTATTCATCATCACTTTCTTCATTGTCATCCTCATCCTCGTGTTCTTCTTCACCTTCATCTTGGTCAGTAAGATATTCACTGGTAACGTTATCATCTTGACCATAATCTTCTACATATTCAACTAGTAAATCGTCGTCATCTTCCGTTGTCGCAGCTTCAATCACCTTTTCTACAGGGACCGAGATTACTATATCTGAATCGTGCAAATCAATAGATGCTTCAATGTAGGCCTTATTTGTGATTTTTTTCTTGAGAGTGCCGAGGAACCTACAAGAATTTTATATAATACATGTGGATCTCATAATATGTAAGATTTTGTTCAAATAAGTTTGTAGGAATGCATGCCTCTCAAACATGTACATCCATCGATATTGTGGAGGACCACATACTCTTGCTTCATAAGGTAAGTGGATGATTAAATGCTCACTCACATCAAAGAATCCCGGCGGAAGAATTTTTTCCATGTTGCAAAGAAGTACAACGACAGTCCTTTCTAATCGTCGAAGAATTTCGACATCCACAACTCGTGTGCATAGAGTTTGAAAAAATTGACTTAATTCAACAACTAACTGCCACACTGTACCGGGTAGAATGTCCCAAAATGCAATTGGAATTAGGTGTTGCATGAAAACATGACAATCATGGCTCTTCATGTGTATTAAACTTAAACCATCTGCACTAATGCATCTTCGAAAATTTGATGTGTACCCATCCGGGAATCTTATTGAAGCAACCCAAGCTAGGATGATCTTTTTTTGGGCAGTGGTTACAGTGTACACAGCCTTACTGATTTTGTCAACGTAATCCGTTGGAACTCCAATACCAGGCCGATCACAATACAATGCAACATCTTTTCTAGCATTCAAATTGTCTTTTGTTCTTTCTTTGTCGTTCATTAGAGTATAAAATAAATTGTCAAACACATTCTTTTCAATGTGCATAACATCTAAATTATGTCTAACTAATAAACTTCCCCAATATGGGAGTTGCAAAAATATGCTCTTTTTTGTCCATGTGTGATCAATGCCATAACCAGGGGGTAGTTCATTAGGATCCTGAATAGCGGTTGGTATCATAGTTACACGAGAAAATAGTTGAAGACCAGTCAATCTAGATGGACGACGACTAAGTTCTTCTTTTCCCATTTTAAATGAATGAATGTCCTTACGATATGGGTGTTGTCGTGGTAGGAATTTTCTATGACAGTCAAAGTAACAAGGCTTACGCCCATACTTAAGCCACGTTG